GGGGATTACTGCCACGTTGTGAACAATATTGAAGTTGGGCGGCACGGGTCCGTCTGCGCTGGCCAGCCAAGGCAACATGCAAGCTACATAGACCAGCAGTCGCATAAGATGAGGACCGCATTGAGGACAGCACACCGTCCCAGCAGCTAGCGCGAGGGCGCAAGTTCAGCTAAGACCCTCATGCGAGCTGGTCAAGCCGGGCATTGGGTGTCGCCTGGCTGAGCAGGGTTGGGATTAGGATTGTTGCAGCGCCCCGTGGTTTCCCGCTTCTGAAGCCATCCAGGCTCACGGGATTGGACTATATACAATTGACATTGGGTGACTGAGACTCAGGTGGCTGCCGCGCGCCGTACAAAGCAGCTGCGCCTGCTGGACGGGAGGCGTGCACAAAGCAAGGCCGGCCCAAAGTGTGTGCTGGTGTGCGCTGCGCGCGAATGCGTGCATGCCGGCGTGTGCGGGCAGGCATATGTGTTGTACTTTGCGAGCGCCAGCGGGCCTGTGCGCCGGCGCTCCTGCCAAAGTCAAAAAGGCTGCTGCCGCGGACCCAACGTTACAGCATGAAGTAATTGCTTTCCACCATCAGCCTGCCGGCCAAACTTTGAAGAATGAGTGCGTCTCCAAAGGGAGCTGAAAAGCTTGGAAGGAGCCATAGCGCACTCGTTGTATGCATGACAAGCTAGCCAGTTGTACGCCTCGCCCGCTATGCAAGCATGCAGGCAGGATGGCCAGCCTTGCACGTCAGGAATCAACATCGCTGCCGTGCGTGCCGCGACGCGGCCCTCGCGCGAATCGTCGTGCTACCATGGATGCAGGGCACAACTGCTTGCTGTGTGACGCTTTGCCAGGTGCAACTGGTGGTGGCAAGCGATAACGAAAGAATCAGCCTCTTCAATGCGAAACGAAGGGACCCAACCAGCAGTGGTAAGAGTGCACGCAGACGCTACCAAGAAGTGGCACAGGCAAGTAAAGCGTAGCCTTCGTTCAAATCACAGCAACACGCGCCACAACGGTCTAGGGAACCTCGGGGAGCAGAGGCGGCTCAAGGGCAAAGGTGTGGGTGTGGCGCCGAGGCTCAGGCGCGGTTGGGTTGGCTAATGGACGCCCATTTTGAATTTGGCGGCGCGATCGCTGTGAAGATTTGGAGGGTTCCATCCACGCGCAATGCACCCAACCAATGTCGAGTATGTGAGGCAAGCTAGGAAGGGGCAGCAACGTGGCTGCTTGCAAACTCGCGTGTGGGCGCCGAGGCACAACGTACGGGCGTGGTTGGGGTGGCAGTGCAGAGTGGGGTACGTAGGTCCAGCTTGCGTGCGCAGCAAGGCGCATGGATGCAAAGGCAAGGTTTATACATTCCTTCAAAAATGCGAACGTCACATGGGCGACTTAAGGTGACGTGGCAGTGCGGTGGACGTGCCATAACAGCGCACAAGACATGGGCGCAAGGGGGGGGTACGCGCCCCGTGTTCTCACACGAGCTCGTTCTCTCCCTGTATACTCCAGCAATCAAGGCACACAACATGACAGATGGCCTGCCCAACAGCTGGCCGACGAGGCAGGGGACTTTTCAGTAGTGTGTGAAGGCTAGCAGCGCAGCTGCTGCGGGTTTGACAAGCGCCAAACACGCGTGCCAAGCAACAATGTACATAAAGCATTGCCAAGCCCAGGCGCGGCTTGACTCTCACAAATGACACATGGCGTGAGTATGTGCGTGCAACGCCGCCCCACCAGTGCTGTGGACGTGTCCGACAGCACGCTCGTCCTCCGAAGCCACACAATCGCTACTGCGAGGCCTGTAACAGCGACGGCATGCGCGGCCTGGTACCAGTGGGCCGTGGAAAGACACACCTCACTGCGGCGCCGAAACACTCTCGCCGCGTGTGCTGCCGCTGCCAGTGATTGCATGTTACGGTCAGCCAGGGGGAGGCAGAGGGCAGCGGCGAGGCGAGAGGGCAACCGCACGCCACCAGAGCCGCCGCACGGGCTCCCCGACCACGCCCCTCACCGCGCCCACGACGGCGCAGCGAGGCCGGAGGGTGGCAGAGCGAGGACGTCCCCGTTCTCATCCATGGGTGGCACGCCCCCCTGCACGTTGAGGTACTGGGCGTACCAGCAGAGCGCTTGACCAAAGTTGACGGTGCCGCGGCCGGCGCGGTCAGCCATGCTGCGGGCAGGGAGGTTTGTGTGAGGACGGCTTCAATCACGCAGGGCCTTCCGTGTGTGAATGTTTGTGTGCGTGCATGTATTTGTGTGTGCGTGCGTTTTGGGGGGCAGTGGAGGGGGTGGTGCAAGTTGGTTGTTGAGAAACGTGCTTTGAAACAATGTCGGCAAAGCCTCATTGACGGCAACATGTCACTGCGCATAACATAACCGTATGCAGGGCTGGCTCACACCCTGCACTGGCTCACCCCTCACCTGAAGCCGTGCTCTACGAGCTCACGCAGCCTCAACCCCTGCTGCTGCTGGCTGCGCTCCTGCCCCGGCCCCGGAACGGCCGCGAAAGCTGGTGCCGCCGCTCGCTGCTGCTGCTGATGCTGCCGCTGCTGCAGAGCTGCCGCCGTCGTTGGTGCCGCCCCGGTGGCGCGCTTGCCTGCCCTGCGAGCGCTCCGGGGGTTGTCCAGCAGGGTCTCCTTGCTGGCCGTGGTGCTGGCGTCCAAGGTGACTGGGTGCGGCTGATCATGAAGTATGCCCAGGTCAATGAGCAGCTGGACGAAGTCGTACCTGCGTGCGTTGCGTGGGAAACACAGAGGGCAACGATGCAGCAAGGATTGCGATATGCACCCAGGGGACTGCGCAGCTTTGCAACAAGACCGGGCTGGCTGTGCTGAACACACTTTTTTGCGCGCAAACTGGCGGCGCAGTGAAAGCAGGGGCGAGTGCATTCAAATGCACCCCGCTGCCAGAAGAGGACATTCAAGTGGTCAGACGTAAATTCTGCTCTCATGCCTGTCACCAGCTTCCCTGCGCCATCACGTCATGGTTTGCAACCGCCCACCCATGTGTGCAAGTGCAGCGACGCCCACACCTGTCGATCTGGCCGTTCCAATGGTGGTCTTGCCGCTTGAACGCGCGGCGCGCGCGGCACAGCAGCTTGTACAGCGGAAGGAACTCGCACATGGCCAGCCGCGCGTCACGGTCCTGGTCTGTTCAGTGGGAAGGTGGTCATACAGTGGGCGAGCAAGCGCATCACCGCGCATGCGACGAGGGTGCTGCTGACTGCGACGAGACCTGAAGGGCTCTTCTTTGACGAAGCCAGCGGGCTGTCAGGATAGGCAAGCCTTGCTTCCGACGCAACACAAGCACCCTCGCGGCCGCCACTGCGACGACCTCTCAAGCCTTGCGATCCCAGCTGTCCCCCCAACCCTGCGCCCTCCGCTCCTCCGGACACCTGCAGCCGCAAACAAGAAGTCCACCAGGCGCTGGTACTCCTCATAGGGCAGCGCCAGATTGAGCTCCAACAGCAGGTCTAGGGGTGGTGTCGCATGCAGCAGCGCCACGTTGCGGGGGGCGGCAGTGTCGTGCTTGCAGCGGTCGGCAGGGAATGAGAGTCAACCACTTCGCGGCCCGCAGCTGAGTGGCAGCCGCTCGGCGGCACCGGCGATGACAGCATTCGCGGCGTCCTCGGCCGCGCCCCTCTGCGGCGCCGCCCGCTGCCCTGTGTGCCGCGCACCCTGTGCGCACTGCGCCTCAGGAGTGATCCCTCACCGTAGAGGTCTTGCTTCCTGAGCAGGCCGTCCAGATCCATGTCGTAGCGCCTGAACAGCACACCAGCGCTCTTGGCACTGCCCTCCAGCTGCGCGGCCGGCGAAGGGGTCGCAGCGGGGCCGCGGGCGTGCCATAAGGGCCGAGGGATGCGCTGAGAGGGGGAGGGAGGCCAAGCTGCCGCCGGTGCGCTGCCGCCCGTTGGCAGCGAGCGCCGGGCTGACGGTGCGGTGCGCCCCTCCACAATTCGCGTGCTTGACAGCCACCTTACTGCAAGGCCCCCGGCCTACCCCCCAAGCGTGAACAGGCGCAGGGGCGGCAAATCCGCGCGTGCACCCACCACAAAGTCGAGGGCGCTCTCAGCCTCCCGAGCCATCGTGACCGTCGCACTCATCACCTCCCGCCCGCCACCGCTGCCGTCCTCGCAGCCCTCCCACCACGAGTTCGTGGGGTAGGACGTGGAGGCCATGTCCTCGGAGACAGGGGTCGCCGCACGCTGCTGCTGCTGCTGCTGCTGCTGCTGCTGCTGCGGCGGCGGCGGCGGCGGCGGCGGTGTCGGCTGTGGCTCGTGCTGCGCCTGGTGTGGCGAGCTAGAAAGCACCTGTTGCTGTGGCTGCTGCTGTTGTTGCTGCTGCTGCTGCTGCTGCCCTGGCGCCTGCCGCAGCCATCCGGCAGAGATGAGGCTGCTACCGCTCGAGGTGGCGGATATCGACTTGCGCATGACCTCACGGCTGGGCTGGCTGCTATCGAGTTCGCAGCTGCCTGCGCCACGCTCAAGTAGGCCCATAGCGCCTTTGCCTGTGCGGGGGACAAGGCGCTTCGGGGTTTGTCAAGCGACGCACAGGCGCTGCAATATGCCTGCCACCTGGGACGGTGTGCGCTGGCGCGGTGTCACGCACCAAGCTCAGGCCGCACGATCCCGTCCATGTCCAGTGTATCCAGGGCTTCGTGCTCATCATGTTGAGGTATTCGAGGCCGCAGGCACCCCGCGAAGAAGGCCACCACTGCTCGCATCGCTGCAGTGTCGCAGAGCCCAGAGCACGACGCGCACAGCAAGTATGGTAAGTAATCAGAAGATGCAAACGCAGATTGGCTGCATAGGGTCTCGCGCCAAGCCGTTGCGGGGGTGCACGCCACAGCCTTTGCACGGATGAGTGCAGCAGAGCATCACTTTCAAACCCTGAGCAGATTGGCCGGTGCCAGGGCGAGCCGCGATCGGCGTTATTATGAGGTTTGATGAATGAGAGAACTTTTCATGGCCGTGAAGTTGGCTGCAGCCACAATCAAGACAGGCAAGCAGCACCCACGAATGGACACCTGTGTGAGTGATACAATAACTTCTACCTGATCAACCCGCACATTCCCCTGGCTGGGGAAGATTGTTGTCATTTGCAGGGGTGATTTGTTTGACCGTCAAACAAACGGTTCCTGGCCTCGACATCGTATTGTAAGCATGCATGTGGCTCTGATGTTGGATTCACACTGAGTGCACACCATCGGATTGCTGCGACGCCGCCTGCCAGTGTTGTCCACCAGCTGAGGAAAACACCGCCTGCGGACGCACCATCACTGCTGCCGCGCAAATTGAATGGATAACATGAAACAGATGTTTACAAAAGGTGGCAGGGTTGTACAGCGGCACAATTGCACCACGCAAACGCGAGCGCTCCCTCGAGGTGGAAGCACCATGTAGGGTACAATTTGGTAGGACGGCAGTGCCATGGGTCCCTAAGCACCCATGCCGCGTGCTGTGTTCGCAGTTGTTGAAGGAGGCTTTCAATGGTTGAGGATGGGAGCCCCGGGCCACATCTTGCAGTGGCCGCGGCATGGGCACGCCGTGTGTTCGATGGCACTTGCTATTGCGTCACTGCGGCGAGGACGCATGCGTTGTGGGAAAGCGGCGATATGCTGCCTGGCACAACGTGCCCTCAATCTCACAATAGCAACTTGCGGCACGTGTGCTGGATGCGGCAGTTGGCTGACACTAACACCTCTCTGTTAGCGGAGAAAACGCTGCGCGACCTCCCTGCGTCTGCGCAGCAACCTGTCGCAGAGTATCCAGCGGCCGCTCGCTACCGCTTGCAGCGGGATGAGCCCGCCAATTCATCTCTCGCAGCTGTACAGGCCAGCCACAGCAGGGCCGTGGCTGCACCATGCACCTTGGAAGCTCAGGCGCATGCCCCATTAGCAAGGGCCGACTGCGAGGAGGCAGGGTGATGACAGGGCGAGAAGGCAAGGGAGTGAGGGTGGGCAAGGCTAGCAGGCAGTGCGTGAAATCCAAGGGCATCGCGGTGCAAGCATAACACGGCTCTGCTGAGAGGCAGTGCTGCTGAGGGCCGCCAGCGAGGCTCGATCATGTCCCAACCGTCAGAGGAAGGCGTCGTCTCAGCCAACCCACGCACCGTCCGCACACGCCCAAAAGATGCCTCCAATGTCAAGGCCCAGTGGGCCAGAGACGGACGCCCTCCGCACCCCAGTTGCGCAGGAGTTGGCTGCCGCAGCTCCAACGGCTGGGGCTTCACCAATGCCAAGCGCGCGCTTCGGGGGTGGCGTGGCAGCATCGGCAGGCGGGGCTGGCGCAGCCTTCACGGGCTGCCACAGGGACCACGGCACATACGCTGTTGCGGAAGGCATGGCTGCGGTGAGGCTACCACAGCTACCGTGCTTCGGACTGGGTTTGAGAGGCGAGGCGGAAACCGACCGAAAATATGACTTCGTGTGGTGCCATGCCACACTTGAGATTAAATACTGATTGAGGGCGGTGCGCGTGCGCGCATTTCAGCCAATTGCCGCGAAGGGGCCTGCCACCGAAGCAGCACCTTCCCAGCAGCGCCGTGGCCCAGCTCGCGGCCTGCGTCGTGGTCTTGATTAAATCAGTTTCACCATGCATCATATGCCTCTCACCGCTGTCGGCGCGCCGCCAACCGTCGGTTGCGCTCAGACTTGCCTGCCTGGCGGGCCTTTGCAGATGCACCTCAGTGTGGGAGCACTAGAACAGCCAACGAGGGGTTGCGTGCACCTTTCTCACTCCATGCGGCACGTTGCGGACAGCGTCCGCTCTGCGCTTACACTCTGTGCCCTGTCGCACGCGCTGGCAAACAGCCGGGCCACGTAATGAGACGTCACATTCCATTACGCCATGCAAGCAGCAGCGCAACATCCCTTTGCAAAAAGAAGCCCCTGACTTCCCAAGGGCGGAAGCCCCGAGCTATATGAGTAGAGGAGAAAGCGTGTGCGGCCGTGCCGGGAAGCAGTGAGGGGCACATGCATCCTAGCCCAGACTGGCTGCCACAACAGAGATGTGTGTCATTGGCGTGCTCGCTGAGGGAGCCACGGGCCTCCTCTTTCGCCTGGAGTTCCTACTGTAGCAGGGACGACCCCCAAGCGACGCGAGCTGTGAGCTTGACTGCCTTCTTTTACCGTGTATGTTGAGCAGCTGCCCACACAATCAGCCACCAGGTGTTCCCAGCCACCAATGTGACCAACGCCTAGAGAGACATTGCATCAGTCATCACTCTTGCTAGATGTAACCTCTTGCCCCACACCAGGATTCGAATTGCACACGCGGGCGGCGGTTTGGCTGATGCTACTGATCTATTGCCAACAGGCAAGCCGGGACCGGGCTGCAAAGCAGTATGCTGTCTGTTGAAGGCTGCGTCTGACACACCTTTATCACCCAAGCCCCACCCAAGTACAGTGCACCCTCGTTAATTCCCGGGGGTAGTGTGAGCTGTTATGGCCGGGAGATATAGAAACCGGGAACAATCGAACCGGGTCTCGGGCCTCGAGGGCCGTTGGGATGGCAGGAACAGCGCCAGAACCTCTTGTAGGAGTCGCTAAGTGACATACATATATATGGTATATATACCGTGTCATGTATAAGCGCCCGTGGTGATGAAATCATGGCAGCAGCAGCAACATCACTGCTGCTGTGCGTAAGCAAGCGGCGGCAGTGCTGCACCCCACAGCTGGTTTAACGTGCATTGCGACGCCGCCAGCCGATGCCAAAGGTACAGATCACATATTGCTGCATCCAATTCAAACTCTCATGGCACGCCTGACTGTTGCCTCACACAGCGGGTTGGCACCGCCACTGTGCAGCCGCGGCAGGCTACCCAGTGCCACGCTTTTTTGCAGTGCTCTAGGATCCTAACTTCGAATCAATGTCCAGAGAGGCTTTTACGTCTTTTCTAGGGGCTGGCTCGGCCGATTTATGCGCATTCTAGTGCTAAATTTATCTCCCGGGGACGGCAATTTTGACCGGGAGGCGGGAGATAGCGAAACCGGGAGGAACTGAGGGGAAATTCTATGGCTGGCGTACGTAGTGGCCTCTTATGCCCGGGAGCTAACGAAACCGGGAGCTAACGGGCCGGGAATTAACGAGGGTGCACTGTAGCTACTTGACTACTATAGTAGCCCAGCAGCGCCTGCGCCAGGCACGTGTCCTGCTGCCTGAAACGTCAACATCTTCATCACTGGCTCATCAAACCTGCCGTGAACCACGCCAACTCCCCCCCGCGGCTTGTAATATTTGCATGTCTCACAAGTTATCGGCATTCAAAGCCATTTTAAAGGTCGATCGGCCTCACACAGGCGCATGCGCATGCACATACACACACACACACACACTCTCTCTCTCTCTCTCTCTCTCACACACACACACACACACACACACGCACGCACATCACTATGTTTCACTCTCTCCCCCCTCCGTCTTGTTCAATGTCTCACCTACATGCCACTGCACAGGTCCTACACATGAACCGTTAGGTGGTGCTCAAGCTGCAGGGGCCCTTTGCATCATGGTGGGCTCCCTTCTAATAAGCTCACGCTTGCATGTGCACACTTACGCACGCACACACGATCAAGTAGCATGCTCCTGCGCGTTCGCACAAACATCCATTGCCCCACCCTTCGCTAGGCAAAAACAGAAATAGCTACTCGAGGCCACAAAAACAGCAAGCAGCTGGGGTGGGTTGTGTTTACACACTAGTCAGATTGATGATACAAGTGATTTGGCAGCAAGCTTTGCGTGTTGCTGTCCTCATTTAGCTTTTTCTGGGAGGCACAACGGACGCCAGGGAAGGCATCCTTGCACAAGGCATTGAGACCAAGCACAACAGCAGCACAAAGCAGTGAGAAAAGCACACACTACAGTCAGTGCGGTACAATATCGTGGGTACATTGAACTTTGGTGCGTCCCCGCTTTGGAAATGCGTGCGATGACCCAGCAGCAGCACTGCAACCCTTGCGTGCCTGCTGCATCCGGCTGGACCACGATGCAGCCGTCGCTGCACCCGAAGATGCCACCGCGACAACGGCGGCCTGCCACGCACGCTGCTGCCTGTAAACTCACGCCTCCGCTCGAAGTGTTGTTTGGCTGCTTCACTTGTGGACAGGCTTGAGGCGCGCGAGCGCGAGCGCCATGACCGCGAAGGATGTGACCGACGCTGCAGTGCGCACCAGGTGCAGCTTGCCCCACTTCTTGACAAGCTCGCCCCTCACAGTGGCAGGTGCATCGCCCGCAATCAGCTTTTTGTTGGTGGGCATCTGAGGGTAACGGGCGGTTTGGGGAGGATGGGGACAGAAGATGCATGCAGATGAAGGTCTTGAAGGTGGTCGCATAGTGGCTCTGTGGCGGCTCTGTGCCGGCTTGTCATTCAGTAAACCAGAACTGACGAGGTATGTGCACGACTGTGCTGTCCACAGGCAGCCAAGTAAGAGATGCAAACGTTGGCCCTATCCCTGGCTGCAACCACCATCCCACTCTAGCCCTGTCCCTCGCTGCGACTCACCATGCCAAATACAGTCCAAGGCCAAACGGCCAGCAGCAACGCACCGCTGCCTCCCCAGAGCAGCTTGGAGCAGTGGCCACCCTGCGAAGCCGCAACCAACGCCGCCGTGCCACCAAGAATGGCCAGAGAGCCCTGGATGGGTGCCGCCCGCTTGTACATCTCAGCAAAACCCTCAGCCGCGTGCTGCGCAACGGCAGCGACAAGGGCATGGTCGTGAGGTGGCGTGGGGTGATGGTACCTTCTCCGGTTGCTATGTGTACACATGAGGCTGGTCAAGCAAAACCAATTGTTCCCAGCCAAGCACACATGCACCAGGCCGCCGCCAAGCTTTCACAGAAGCTGGCGCAACTAGGGCAGCAACTGGGTGACTGCCCCGCACCACGCCGGTGGGGTCCTTGGCCATCAACGCTGGCTGGTCCACGGCCGATATGAAAAGTGCGCCCCCCGCGAAGATGCCTGCGCGCAAAGGGCGTTGGTAATGAGGTGAACGAGCAAGGAACAGGGCCGCTGCCATCAACGCTTGTGCTGGGGCTATCATTCGGCACTCAACGGCACACCGCCTGCATCCAAGGGATCTGTGCAACCTGCGCGGCGCGTGCCTGTGACGTGCAAACTGACTCACCGGTCGCGAAGGTAGCGATTGTGCCCGCGGTGGACTGAGTGGAGCTCATGGTTGTGAGATGCCGGGACTCCAAGAACAACTGCAAGATCAAGGTGATCTGATGTCAGGCGCAGATATTACATCGAGATTTTGTATAGCTTTTGGCCAGGCATGATGTTCGGGAAGTTGCCAAGTACGAAAGTAGGTACCGTAGTGCTCAACAGCCACCGCCAAAAGTGATGAATTTGCACGCGCTCTGGACGCTCGCCGCTGATATCACGTACAGCGTCAGCTCATACAGCAGTTGCGGATGGCGGACGCGGGCGGCAGCCGTGGCGGAGAGCCAGGTGACGGAACAATGGCGGCGCAACAGCAGCTGCGCAGCACCGTTCCTGCCGCAGCCATCGCTGTGCTGCCGCAGCACTCTCGCCAGGACGCAATCCACCATGTAAGCTTAAAAATGGTGCCCCCTGGCAGCGGGGAAGAAGTAGATGCTGCCCCGCTTACAGCCTGACGGGCTGCACTGCACTCAGAGCCGGCTCAAATTGCGTCAAGCCGGCCATGACACTCCTTGCAGAGGTGCAGCCCCCACACCATTGCTGCATAAGAACAGAACAAACCCTGTTCTTGCCCCGTGCAGCTGCGATCCCGCCACAGAGACAACGTGCTCGCGCTCCTGCGGGGCGCCCTCCTGCGCGGCCACTTTGCCACCGCAGCCGGCGCCATCGCAGTGCTGCTGGGGGCGGAGACCTTCAGCCTCGGATCCAGGCCGCACGCGGTCCTGCAGCAGACGCGGCGCACCGACCGGATGGCAGAAGTCGTGTGGGCGGCGCTGGAGCTGCTCAGACGCCAGGCGGCGTCAACGGAGCAGGTGGGCTGCAATGCGTATTGCAGATTGAATGCCTCGATCATCGATTGAATCGCGAAAGTCAGCGATGATACGCGTGTGACCCAGGTATTGGCGGTGCAGCCAGCTGTCATATTGTGTAGCGCGTTGGCCGGCTGCACTCACCCCCTCACCTCTTCCACTACGCACACCCCGCAGCTGCGCCGCTTCCTGCGCAAGGCGGCCCACTTGTTCGCGCCCGTGCCGGCCATCAGGGATTCTGCCCTCGCTGAGCTGGCGATTGTGCTGTGGCAGCAGGTGGGGCTACCTAGGATTTTGATTCAGGCGGCTGCAGGCTGCGTTTAGTGTGCGGTGCGTGGAGGCAAGGGCATGTGTGGCGCCAGCACCGCACCCGGCGCCCAGCTCGTCTGCGCAGCTGACGGCTGTGCGGTAGCTTGGCACTACGCCAAGACGGGCCGTCTCTTTTTCCACCTCTCCACCCCCCTGTGGCACCGTGGCAACTTCTGCGCTGACCTCCCACACATCCTGTTGCGATGGGGCCCTCCGTTCCTGTCAGGGGGACCTACCACAGGCCTATGATGTGCTCAGCGGCGCTGCCGCCCCCGGGACGGCGCCGGCTGCGGCCGCTGCGGCGGCGCCCGCAGGCTGGCGTGCCGGTGCGGGCCGCGATCGTGCCGGGCGCTTCAGGTCGCTGGCGTTGATGGGCGTGCTGCGGCACAGGCAGTGGTGCGGCGCAAGGGGGGGGGGGTGTCATCAATTGCTGTTGTCGCGGGTCTTCCCACCAGCATGCGATGCCTGCTCTTTACCCTCTCCCCGGTACCTGTACGCCAACCAGCGATGAGGTCACCAGTTTTTCTGCAACCCTACTTCTGACAGCCCAGTATTTTGTCTGATCCTGGTTGCGTGCATCCTTGACGTTGCCCACGAGCCCTATCCGCGCCTGCGCGCAATCGCTGCAAACGCGTGCGCGCAGGCTGTCGGCGGTGGGCGCGGCGGCCCCGGTCGTGGACCTGGGGGCGTCCGGCGTGCTGGGCCTGGCCCTGCGGCCGGGGGTGGCGCGCGGCCAGGGGGGTGCCGCAGAGGTGTGGGCCAAAGACGCGGAGAAACACCTCCTGGTGAGGCGCTCCAAGTTGCTGGCCGCCAGGGTCACAAGTGTCATGCAGAATGGCTTTGATGAAGGGGTGACCCAATTTCAGCAGGCCCCGCCAGGCAGGGCAAGCGCCTGAGAGGTTGCATGGCAGGAAAAGCAACCATAACAATCGTCGCTTACATGAGCTGCGCGCGCTCCGCCACCTCACCAGTGACATGCACAACCCCTCCCTCTTACATCCTTGCTGAACAGGACGCGCTGCACCTATGCCCGCGCGTCACATGGGTCGCGCTGCTGCTGGCCCAGCTGCAGCTGGCGGCCGGCCGCGTGGACGATGCCCTGCAGCTGGCGCGCAGCTGCTGCTCGGCTTCCCCCCAGGACGCCGACGCGTCGAAGCTCCTGGCGGTGCTGATGGCGCAGCAGAGGACAACGGGCAGCGGCCAGGCCCCGCAGCAGCGGCGGCGCAGCACGGCGCGGCGGCGCGCGAGCGTGGTCGAAGAGGGCGGCGGGCACGGCACCCCTCAGGGGTTGGAGGGAGGCGGCGGCGGCGCGGCGGCGGGCGAGGACGGGGGCCGGCACGGCTTGCGGGACCAGTGCATGGAGGCTGTTGGGCTGGACCCGTGGTCTTACGGCGCCCTGTCGGGTGCGCACTCGCAGGACGCGGACATTTGCACATCTGCTTGTCATACTCGACGTTGTTGCGATGCTTGGGCGGGCAGCGCTGGTGCTTGTACAGGTGTGCTGAATGATGGCGTCTTCATACGGTCAGGAGTTCTCGCAGCGACCTGCATTCTCTCAGCGTCGCGTGGTCCTTGCACTGCCTCAATCGCCACCTCCGACCACCAGTGCTGTCGCAAGGCGCCGGCCACTGCCCCGGCTGCGCGGCGGCCTGGGCCAAGGCGCTGCTGCTGCACCTTGACCTGGCGGGGCTTCCTGAATACGAGGGGCCGCCCGATCTTGAACTGCCCGATGATGTCACTGGTGATGCTGTTGTCACCACCCCTGGTGATGACATCGTGCCAGGCGGCGGGCCGGATGCAGCGACGGGGGCAGGGCAAGGCGGTGTATTGCCGGGTGGAGGCGTTGCCACATGTTGTGGCCCGTGGGGCGCAGCGGCGCTGGCTCTGACGCGGCTCGCAGGCCCCGCGGCAGCGGCGGCTGCAGAGCTGCTCACGTTCGAGCAGGCGGCAGCAGGAGCTGTTGCCGCCGGGCAAGCAAGCCCGGCGGTAGCAGCCGCGGGCCCTGAGCAGAGTGCTGCGCTCGACGCTTGGGCGGGCAGCCTGGACGACGCGCTTGGAGAGCGGCGTGCGTGGTGGCCCGAGGCGATGGGGTCGCCGGGTCTACTCTTGCCTCCTCGCACTGCTGTGCCGCGTGCTACGGATGAGCACGCTGCGGATGCGGACAGCGAGGGACGGCGCGAGCAAGCAGGGACAGGAACAGCGGCAGCAGGGTCAGTAGCAGCAGCAGCAGCAGCAGCAGCCGCGGCTGCGGAGGCACTGTCAGAGGACGGGTCAGATGACAGCAATGGCGGTGGCAGAAGCGAGGACGGCAGCGAGCGTGCGGTGCCTGGCCGTGCGCTGGCTGCTTGGGAGCGGCGGCTGGTCTGCAAAGCCATCGTGATGGCATTTGTGGGCAGTGCAGACGCCGGTGTCAAAGGTGGTTATGCAGGACGCGCTCTTCACCTTCTGCGGCAGCGTGCGGATTGGCGGTGCGGGCGGCAGCGGCGGGAACGGCTGGGACGAGCGGACGGCGAGGATGAGGAGGGGCAGGAAGATGAATGGCAGCAGCAGCAGCAACAGCAGCAGCAGCAGCCGCAGCAGCAGCAGCGGCGGCGGCGGCATCGGCATGCCATGTGTGAAGCTGGGCCAACGGCGATGGACGTGGATCAGTATGTGCAGCAACGCGTGGGCCCAGGCCAGCGGCTGCTGACTGAGGGAAGCGGCGCTGGCTGCCAATGTCTGCTAGAGCTGCTCAGCAGTTCCAGCATCGCTGCCTGGACGCCCGCCGCCTGTGCAGACGCCCTCGAGCAGGCCGTCGCTCTGTCCCTCGCCCTTGCCGCGCACTGCGAGCGGTTACGGCGCGCCCGCGATCTGGCGGGGCTCGGCGGCAGCGGCGTGCGGCCAAAGCGGTTGCTGGGGCAGCCGTCGCCAGAGTTTGGGGCTCTGGTGGACCTGCCGCTTGCCTGGTGGATGGCATTTCCTGCCAAGCGCCGGCGGCTGCTGTCTGAGTTGCAGCAGGGGCCCGCGGGCAGTCATGATGGGGATGGGGGTGTTGGACAGCCGCAAGGAGGCCTGCTGGCCCGGCTCCTGGCGCAGCAGAACGGTAGCGCTAGAGGTGGCGCAGACGGTGCTCATGCTGCGCGCGGTGGCAGCGGCGCCCGTACAGACAGCAGCAGCAGCGAAGATGGCGGCAGCCTTGACAATGGCAGCGGGGACGCGGTTGGCAGCAGCAGCGAGAGCGCCAGGGGCAGTGCGAGTGGGATGGAGGAGGACGAAGAGAGCTTGCAGGGCAGCGACAGCGAAGGCGCCTCCGAGGAGGGGGACGAGGCGCGGGCGAGCCCAAGCAGCGGCAGGACAGCGGGTTGGGGTCACAGCAGCAGCAGCAGTGGGGCTGAGAGCGGCAGCAGCGCTGGGTACGGTGAGGAAGAGAGCGAAGGGGGCAGCGGCAGCGGCGAGGACAGCAGCAGCATCAGCAGCCGCGACGACAGCGGTGATGGGAGCAGTGACTCGGGTGACGACAGCAGTGGCAGTGGCGGCCACAGGGCAGAAGCACGAGCGGCCACCCTGCCAGCAGTGTGACATCAATGCAGTCAACACTTGCAACAGCAACATGGAATTGACGTTTGGTTGTACTTGGATCAATTTCGAGAGTAAGCTTTCAATTACCTGGCCCGATTGACAGAAGGTTTCAGCAGGTGAATTGGCCATTCCCAGTTGAGGTGCAAACCAGCAATGATGTTGGCGCAAGCACAGCGGCTCGCGCCAACAGCTCGTCTGCAAGTTTCTAGTCACTGAATTGCAGCAATAATAGTGAAGGGTTGCACCCATGTGGTCTGCAGCTGCGAGCAAATGAGATCACGCCTGCTGGGTGTGACGTCACTGTCACCGTATGCCACCCATGGACCTTCCGCATCAGGCCGCTCTCCAACAAGGAGCATGCGCTGGTTTTGGTCATAATAATAAAAAATTTGATCTTCCTGTTGCCAAACACGCCCAGGTGCCGAGTCATTCATTGCACGGCTGACCAACCCGTTCCCCGATCTCTCGCGCCTCTACCTCACATCAAGAAAAAAGATGGTCGAGGTACGTGTTGATATAAAGGTTGTTGCTGCTGATGGTCCACGCCTCACCAGCGACGCGGCCGTGGCTTTGTACGTCAGCACCTCTGGCCCACACCGTGTCCCCGCCTCTCAACCCTGCCTGCCTTTCCATACCTGCAGACCCGCAGTCAGGCGGAGGGCAGGCCCCTCAAGAAGGCCGGGGCATACGACACGGTGAGCCAAGCACTTTATGAACTAGGTCGCAGTGCGTGCAGCACCGCGCCGTCGTAAGCGTTGGCGCCCGGACAGCTTGCGCGTGCGGGTCTCATCACTGGTATTTGTGTGCGCGCTTGGAGCTGACGCGCGTCCCGTTCTGGCCACGCCTCACCTGCTCGCGCCTCATACAAAGCCTCTCTGAGCCTCCCACCCCCATCTCTGAACTTCCCACCCCAACACCGCCCAGGACGCTTACTATGCTGAGAAGGACATGGGCTATGGCGATGTGGGCGTGTGAGTGACACACCAGACGCTGCCAAAGCCAATGGCAGCCATCTGCCAGCTTCCTGCATCTCTCACCCCCCCCCACCCCCAAGCACCAGCAGTCTTCAGTGCTCGTCGCACAGGTTCTGGCCGGGACTGCGGGGAGCCTGTTTGCGCAGATGCAGGTGCTGCCTTCGAAAGCCCATCTCTCACTTGACACCCCCTCCCTCCCCGACCTGGCACCCGTGCACCCCTTGCTCCCTGATCTGAACCCCAAGGGACCAGGAGCCTGATGCTGGCCGTACCCAGGCTGACAACAGGGGGGCAGACCCCGACTTTACGGTGGGTGGTGGGGCGGTCGTGCAAGCGTTTGGTCAGGGCAGGTGGATTCGTGAGTCGGTGCTCGGATTGCCTGCTTGTGGGTGGGTGGTTGGGGCAGGGGCACGCTGCCATATCTGCTTCCAGTGCAGCGTTCCAAGCACCGCATTACCTTAATCTGCATGTTGACATTGTCTGCTCTCTGATTTGTACCTGCTGTGACCGTGCAGGTGACGGCTGACGAGGATCGCACTGCCACGGAGGAAGCCAGGAGGGACGTCACAGGTACGCATGTCCAAGCCAAGGCATGCTGCGTGCTGCCTTTCATGGCACCTAGCGTGATCTGCTTCTCTGCAATATGGATTTTCACTGTAGTCAATGATTTTGGTGTTGTATTGATGAACAAGCACATCCATTCTTTGTTGAAAAATGCAATAATATCTTTAATTATATCTTCGAGATATTAGGTTCTAGACACAGGCCCTCATCTGTACCTATCCTAAAAAATCTCTCCCGCCATGTTTCACACCTCAATGCTACAACCTTCATACCTTTGCCGCCCCCCCCCCCCTTTTGGACCCTGCAGACGCAGACATGCCCCTGCAGGAGGATGTGGCTGACCTCAAGGCGGGCGCTGACGAGCAGGTGCAGACGCGTAACCGCGATGATTCTGACAACATTGACATTGTACCCACCAGCCGCGAGGACGTGGAGCAACAGGTGGGTGGGTGATTGGGATGGACCTAGGATAAGATAGTGGTTTTGCCTGTGACTGATGAATTGCGCTGGTTTTGACAGCTTGTCTTGCGGTTGCTTTGACCATGGCAGAAAGTGAGTTCGTCCCTAGCTTGGCGTTTTGCACCCAGTTTTCATGCTGAATGGAATTGCGTCGCTCGCCAAACCCTCAACACGTCAATTGTAGGAGGCTTTTGCGACCCCTGACCAGTGAAGCGCATGTACAAAGGCGATGTGGTACTGAAGTGCATGCTGGCGGTGCGGAGCTTCTGTGCGTCTTGCTGTGCCTCTGCATGCCTTCCTGTACGAAAAACAAGAGACTATTTGTGTCTCTCGACATGGCCTTCACCCTTGACAGTGCGCATGCAATTCATGTGCATGCACCTCTTAGGACTTGACCGTTTTGCGATGGTTACTTGGTTCCAGTAAAGCAAGGAATGCAGCCACGCTGATGATTTTCTACCGTATGCAGCTGTCATAAAACACATAGTAGTTGTTATCTCCTCAGTTTAAGCGTGGCAGTCAAGTTGTACACGATGGTATGTGCAGTGGACGATGGAAGGTTTGGCAGACTATTGCTTGCACTCCACATGTGATGATGGAACCTTTGAAAAATCAATTCCCTCGCTACACACCCTCGCTGCCATTGCGGCATCCCAAAGGCATTGCACTCTCCCAACACTCATATGCACTGTCCAACGCTGGCCAGAAGTGCCGCCCTGCCTCCAGTTGTGCACGACTCCCACGGCCAGCCCTCGCGGCCGCCCCAGCCACGCCAGCTGTGCTCTCCGGGCGGGCCAGGAGCAGCGCGGGTGCCCTGCGCCCCCTCTCTCCGGCCTTGTTGGCGGAGGGTGGCAGCATCTTGACTAGTAGCAGCCCGCGGGCCTCCAGGTCGCGCAGCAGCTGCCGCGCATCGTCAGGAGTGACGACATCCAGGTGGCCCACCAGTGACGCCTCAGGTATCCCTGGATGATTGCGGTGGTGATTGATGGAGCAGGTTGCAGACGAGACAGCCCAAGCCAATTCAAAGCCGTGTGTTATTCAGTAGTACCTGAGGCTCGCTTATCACAAGGTTCGAGGTAGGCTGGTGCCACGTGATGGCACTCCAAATGTGCGACAGAGCACCCACGTCGCAGCTGTGGCCCCCAGACCCTGCGTGTGTGCCGCCCCCACCCGTCAGCCCAGCCCTCACCAGGGTTGCGGATGACCGCGCCCATCGCGCGCTGCACCAGCGCCTGCCACAGCGCCAGGTTCACGCGCCCGGTGTGGTCCAGCCACGGCCGCACAGGCACCTCGTGCCGTGCCGCATGCAGCACTGCCTCGCCGCTGTCCTCGTCCGCACTTCCGACCGTCGCCGGCGCCGCCGCCGTTGGGCCCGGCCCTGCGGCCTGCTCGGCCTGCGGCAGCTTGCCGGGCGAGCGGCCTGCCTTGGCCTTCGACCCTTTGCCCTTGCCCGCTTTCCCTGGTGTGCGTGGTGGTGCCGCCGCCGCCGCCGCCGCTGCAACCTCGTCCACCCCGCTGTGGCCCGCAGCCCTCGCCGCCGCAGCCCCCGCCGCGACGCCCTCACCCGCTCCCGCCCCGCTCAAGAGCGGCTCGAGCTGCGGCCCTTGCGGCACCGGGAACGACAGCAGCCGCTGGCTGGCCTCTGCCGCGACGTAGCAGCTGCCGGACCACGCCCCCAGCTCCCTGGCCAGGCCGTGCCGCACCAGGAGGGCCAGCAGCCGGCCCCCGCCCAGCCCTGGCGCCGCGCCCGCCTCCGCGCTCGCGGCGCCCAGGCGCTGGTCCGCCTCAGCGGCCGTCACGCCCTGGGCGCCCGCCGCACGCACTGCCGAAAGCACCGCGCGGAGCCGCGCCTCGGCCGCATCCTCCCGTTCCTGCGCCGCTGCCGCGGCCGCCGCGGCCCCCGCACGCGCGCCGCCGCCGCCGGGGGCTGTTGTTTTGGAGCGCTTCTTGGGGCGCGCCGGCTGCTCGCCGTCGTCCTCCGGCTGCTGCTGCTGCTGCTGCCCCAGTGGTGGTGCCGCCGCGAGTTGCCGCACAGCGGCTAGACACGCCTCCTCGGCCTGCCGCCTCACACCTGGCAGTCGGCCCACAGCAAAGGGCAGGAACAGGGGCGATGCCGCCCCCGCCTCATCTCCAACGACTGCTGCTGCGCCGTCGCCGGCCCCATCCGCTGCTGCGGGCACGCCCGTGCCCTCCTGCTGAGCCTGCAGGGGCCTCCTTGGCCGCGCACCGCCGCTGTGGCCCGTCAACTGCGCTGGTGGCGCCGGGGCCTCTGCCGCACCGCCAGCGTCAAGCGACTGGGCGCGCTGCGGCGCAGCGTAAACGAACAGGCCCCGCGCGCTGTGCTCCTGGTCACCTTTGTCAGCATATTCCACATGCTGCTGCTGCTGCTGCTGCTGCGGCCGCGCCGCCCTGCTGGCCCACACCTCCAGCACGGGCCGCCGCTGCAGCACAACAGCCGGGAGGCTCCCCGGGCCGCCTGCCGGCGCGCCGCCCGCGCCTACGCCCGCCCCCGCCGCCGCGCGCCCCGTGGGCGTGTGCAGCTGCAGCGACAGCCGCAGGCCGCCGGCCGCCGCCCGGCAGAGCGCGTGCAGGACCAGCGAGCCGCTGATGTCAGCGTCCTCGGCCGGGGGTGAGATCATCACGACGCCTGGGGCGGCCGAGCGCCCGCAAGGCAGCAGCATCCTGTCGTACGGCAGCCCGCCGCCGCCGCCGCTGCCGGCCCCGCCCTGCCACGCCGCCGCGGCGCCCTCAGAGCTGCGGCGCAGGAAGAAGTCGAGCTGCTCTCCGCCCTCGCCCGCACCCCGCGGCCCCTGTGCGC